TAAAGTTACAGAGGAACAAGGGAATTCTTTTGGTTACAGCATTACAATTGGTTTACATTTTAAGTTATACATTCAGTAGTTTTTCTATTGGTTCCTGCGCTTTCAGTAAAACCTCAAACGGCTGTGTCCTTATCGGGGATTTTCCAGGTGGTGTTTGTACTGGGCTCAGGAAATTGAGAGATATATGGTGTTTGTACTGGGCTCAGGAAATTGAGAGATATATGGTGTTTGTACTGGGCCTGTTTGTGTTGAGCCCGGGGCTGAGGAATGTGCCTGATTTCTTTCACAACCTCCACCTCCCGGGTTCAAGCAGTTCTCCTGTCTCAGCCTCCTGAGTAGCTGGGATTATAGGCTTGCACCACCAAGCCCAGCTAATTTTTTGTATTTTTAGTAGAGACAGGGTTTCACCATGTTGGCCAGGCTCGTCTCCAACTCCTGACCTCAAGTGATCCGCCCGCCTCGGCCTCCCAAAGTGTTGCGAATACAGGCGTGAGCCACTGCGCCTGGCCTTCTTTCCCCTTTCTAACAGGTTATCAAATCTATTTAGAATTTTTGCTTACTCTTATACAATGTCTTTCTTCACCATATAGTTTGATGCTTTATTGTGTCGATTACTTCTGATTCTCATTTGCCTGTCTAGAGAAAGCTCTAATGCCATTAAACCCTCAAATTATAGGATTAATATTGTCAATATACATTTTTTATTGAAGACAATGACAGTAACGCATCACAGTCACTTCTATTTTGGCTTTTTAAATATTTTGCTTAGACAATGAATATTCATACTAGTAGTTTCTCTACCCTATTTCTAGGTGGTTCTATGTCCTTGAGTAACAAACCCTATTCCACTCCTGTTTCTATTTAGTTTTTGCTAGTGGTCCCTTCATTCATTGTTACCTTTCCTTCATGTAATTCAAGGTAAACACTTATACTGACATATACTCTTGGCCCTTGGGTTTTCTGTATCAGCCTGTGCTATGGTCTGAATGTTTGTGTCCCTGCAAGTTCATATGCTGAAATCCTAACCCACAAGGTGATGGTATTAGGAGGGGGGCCTTTGGGCCCTCATGAATGAGACTGGTGTCTTCTTAAAAGAGCCCATGGCCGGGCGCAGTGACTCACACCTGTAATCGCAGCACTTTGGGAGGCCGAGGTGGGTGTATCAATTGAGGTCAGGAGTTCGAGACCAGACTGGCCAACATAGTGAAACCCTATCTCTACTAAAAATACAAGAAAATTAGCCGGGCATGGTGGTGGGTGTCTGTAATCCCAACTACTAGGGAGGCTGACGCAGGAGAATTGCTTGAACCTGGGAGGCGGAGGTTGCAGTAAGCTGAGATTGTGCCACTGCACTCCAGCCTGCCTGGGCAACACAGCGAGACTCCATTAAACAAAAAAAAAGCCCTGAGAGAGACTCCTTGCTTCGTCCACCTCGCCCTTCCCACCATGTTAGGACACAACAAAAAGACAGCTGCATATATACCAGGAAGCAGGCCCTCACCAGACACCAAATCTGCTAGCACCTTGGCCTCAAACTTTCCAGCCTCTAGACTATGACAAATAAATTTTGCTGTTTATAAGCCACCCAGTCAATGGTATTTTGTTACCGGAACGTGAATAGACTAACACAGCCTGGTTTCCTCTTGCTGCTTTCTAATAGGTTATGAAATCTATTTAAAATTTGTTCTTCGTCTGCTCAAATAATATAGCTACTGAAGTACTAAAAGGACTGCACTCCAAGATAGTTTGATTGTTTGAGACCAGAGATAGTGTTTTCTGTACTCAATCCTGAGATTAGGGCATTGATTCTCTATCAGTGTGTCCCAGTTATTGATGGGAAAGTTGAAATTTCAGAGATATGAATGTTGAAAAAAGGTTGAGAAAATGGAATTAGAGAAACCAAGGAAAGTAATTATTGATCTAACAGGTTGCTTTAGAAAGCAATGCTGGCAGTTTTTCTTCTGATTCTAAAAGTGACTATAAATGATTTTGTTACATGTGATAATTTTTTGTCCGTTTGTTTTTTGCGGGAGACTGGAGGTTGGTTGGTTGGTTTGTTTGAGACGTAGTCACTCTCTGTTGCCCAGGCTGAAGTGCAGTGGCATGATCTCAGCTCACTGCAGCCTCCCCCTCCTGGGTTCAAGCAATTCTCATGCGTCAGCCTCTCCAGTAGCTGGAACTACAGGTGCATGCCACCATGCCCTGCTAATTTTTGTATTTTTAGTAGAGACGAGGTTTCACCATGTTGGCCACGCTGGTCTTGAACTCCTGACCTCAAGTGATCCACCCACTTCGGCCTCCCAAAGTGCTAGGATTACAGGTATGAGCCACTGTGCCAGACCTGGAATTTTACTGTTACTCAAATCAGTCTCCCTGAGCATTCTGAGATCAGTTTTTAATGACAGCTTGGTGGGTGGGGGAAGCCAGTGAGCCAGGAGTGCTGATTGGTTAGGTAGAAGATGAAATCATGGGAAGTTGAAGTTGTCCTCTTGCTCTAAGTCACTTCCCAGGTTGGGGTCACAAGATCAGATGAGCCAGTTTATCAGTCTGGGTGGTGCCAGCTGATCCGTCAAGTGTACGGCCTGCAAAATAAGCGCTGATCTTAGGAGCAGTTTAGGGAGGACCAGAATCTTGTAAGCCTCCAAGTGCATGATTACTAAACCATAATTTTTATTTTATTTTACTTTATTTATTTTTCTGAGACAGAGTCTCACTGTGTTGCCCAGTCTGGAGTGCAGTGGCGCAATCTTGGCTCACTGCAACCTCTGCCTCCTGGCTTCAAGTTATTCTCCTGCCTCAGCCTCCCAAGCAGCTCGGACCCACCACACCCGGCTAATTTTTGTATTTTTGTAGAGATGGGGTTTCATCATGTTGCCCAAGCTGGTCTTGAACTTCTGACCTCAAGTAATCCACCTGCCTTGGCCTCCCAAAGTGCTGGGGTTACAGGTGTGAGCCACCATGCCCGGCCATAAACCATAATTTTTAATTTTGTGGCTAATTTGTTAGTCCTACAAGGGCAGTCTAGTCCCCAGGCAAGAAGGAAGTTTGTTTTGCGAAAGGGCTGTTATTGTCTTTGTTTTAAACTATAAATTATAAATTAAGTTCTTTCCAAAGTGAGTTCAGCCTATGCCCAGGAAAGAACAAGGACAGCTTAAATTTTAGAAGGAAGATGGAGTTGGTTAGGTTAGATATCTTTCGCTGTCTCAGTCATCATTTTGCAAAGGCAATTTCAATCCTCCCTTTGGGTTTTTAAAACACCTTAATCTTAAGGTGTTGGCTAATGAAAATGGGAAAAGGCCGTCGATCACTCTGGCTTCTTCCTGCTGACAGGGGGCGTAGTGGAGGTAGGTGTTGACCCCGAGGTGAGAGGAGTAGAACCACTTTGCAACTGACATGTGACAATTATTTAATAATGGCCCCAAATATTATAGTACTTCTTAAAAGTTTTCACATTCTGTTATACGATCGTTATGACAACTTGGTAAGGCAGTCTTATTATCTTTATTTTATAAATGATGAAACTGAAGATCAAAGACGATTAAAGTCACCAAAAGTCACATTCCTCTAAGTGGGGAAGGTGGCCCTAGAACTTGGGATTTCTGTATCAAAGGCCTGTATTCTTTCAGCTACCGTTACTGCTTTCTAAGTAAACAACATCTAATCATTTCCTCTTGTTGACAGATTTACTGATTCCTAGATTATGTTTAGAGATTGTGTGTGTATTTGTGTGTGTATTCATGAGCACACACGTGCACACTTACATACTTTACTACAGTTCTTTCTCTTTCTGATTGCACATTTTTTTTTTTTTCTAGTTTTTAAAGATAGTTCCCAGAAAGACCTGCTGAATTTTACTGGCACAATTCCTGTGATGTATCAGGGTAAGTGTGGAAGTTGAAAAAACGTGAGTTTTCTAAAAGACCAGTTCATTTAATAACTTACACTTGTTTATGCCATAACATTCTTAAAGTATTGTTACAGATATATGACCTATACAGAACCTTACTGGATCTGTTCCAGTCAAGGAAAGCCTATATTAATGTCAACAAGTTCAGTTCAATTCAACAAATACTTATTGTCAACTGTGTGCCCACTGCTCTGGTAGGCTCCAGGGTACAAAGGAAAGCAAGACAGACATAGGCCTGCCCTTGGGGAGAGTTACTTTTTTCTTCTACATCTATATTTTGTTCCCCTCCTTTCCTCTCTATGTGATATAACATTATCTCCATTCCATAGGTGAAACTGAATCTTAGCCTGGTCTGATTTACCTAAGATCACACAGCTAGTGTTAGCCTGAAACTCAGACTCCAATAGGAAAATTTTGCAACACAAGAGGTCATGAAAGCTCAAAGAAAGGAACACATTTTAGAGTGACGTAGCAGTTTAAAATAGCTAAGTGTTTGCCCAAAAATAAAGGAAAACAAATCACTGACTTTTCTTATACTTAACTCTTCCCATGTTTCCAGACCTACTTCTCCTGTGTTCAACAAGGACTAACCTTTCAGATAAGAATCACAAGAGATTGCTTATATATAGTATGATTTTAAGAACACCAGTGAATCTTTGTTTCCAAATATTTCTCTGAAGTGGTGCCTGAAGTTTCACTATTAGAAATTCACTGTTCTTGCTGGGTGTGGTGGCTCATGCCTGTAATCCCAGCACTTTGGGAGGCCTAGGTGGGCAGATCACTTGAGGTCAGGATTTCGAGACCAGCCCGGCCAACATGGTGAAATCCCGTCTCTACTAAAAATACAAAAATTAGGCCTAATGGCACTGCCTGTAATCCCAACTACTCAGAAGGCTGAGGCAGGGGAATCTCTTGAACTCGGGAGGCAGAGGTTGCAGTGAGCCGAGATCATGCCACTGCACTCTAGCCTGGGTGATGGAGTGAGACTCAGTCTCAAAAAAAAAAAAAAGTTCACGTTCTTTTGAAATGCAAATCATCCCAGGAAGAATAACATCTATAATCACTAATATACAGTTATGTGCTTAAAGGAAATTTTTGGTATTTGTTGAATAGTTGAGTTAGTTTGATTATTGACTGAAGGGCTTAGGAATAAGTGGCTTACTGGGGCATTAAAGATGCACTGAAAGGGGGGCTGAGAAAGATTTGGAAACCAAATAGGGAGACAGCAGCATAACTTCGCTCTCCTAAAAAGAGTTCAGCATTGTACAATGAGAATACATTGCCCAAAAGACCCTAGGAAGCTGCATTTGGGGGGACTTCTTTCAAAGTAGGTGCTTCTTTGTGAGCTCCTGGATTATCACAAACCCCCTTAATTCCCCACTCCCCACCCCCAGTGATGACTTGTTGCTAGAGATGCACTCATGTTTTGTTCTGTGTCTGTGTATGTCCCACCATGATACCTCCTTTTGCAATAATAGGCACTCAGGAAATATGTAGGAATTCATTTTGTTTTTATGCATAGGAGAATGGATGGAGATGAATGCAGCTAGCCATGGGATCCATGCAGAGATTGCAGAGTGAGGTAGGCAGAACAGGCATAGAGTTGATTTTTCTTTTCTTTCCTTGCTTTTCCCTGCCAAGCTTTCAGACTGTTTCCTGGCTGCATAGAGAATTTTACTCAGACCTGTTCCCCTTAAGTTGTATTCTGAATTTATCTTGGTTAGATGTTGAAAAGAAAGGAAAGGGAAGGGTATTAGGGAAAGGAGGAAGGGAGAGGAAGAAGGAAGGAAACTGATGAAGGTGATTCATTCTGAGAGATAAAGGTCAACTCTTAACCCACCCCAGTGTTTTCAAGGGTAGTTGCATATTAACAGAGGAGCTTGTGAATTTAAATGAACTACTGCTTAGTAGCATTTCAGTTTCTAATACAGAGTAGGGAGGTAACATGAGGGAAGAAAGGTTATCTGAATACCATAAAATCCTGCTCATTGGCACTATGCCTGTCCTGCAGTCATTGAGTTATGTCATTGATTCTTATGCTGGGGTCTTCCTCAGGTGCACCCCCCACCTTTTTTTTTCTGCATTATACTTTTCGTTTGCTTTGGAATTGTATCAACTCAATGTGAATGCACGCTAGTTATTTCCTGCTGATCAGAAGGTCAGAATGTATATTATCTTTCTCATCTGTAAAATGGGCCAATACTAGAGCCCACCTCAGAATTGTAAGGCTTAAACGAATTACAGTAAGTAAAACTCTTGGCATAGTGCCTGGCATATAGTAAATGCTCAGTAAATGTGGCCATTATTATTTGTCTGCCTTTATGTTTTTTGGTTTTTTTTTCTTTTTGGAAATGGAGTTTCACTCTTGTTGCCTAGGCTGGAGTGCAATGGCGTGATCTCGGCTCACTGCAACCTCCTGAGTTCAAGCTATTCTCCTGCCTCAGTCTCCTGAGTAGCTGGGATTACAGGTATGCACCACCATGCCCAGCTAA